TTTTATAAATATAATTTCTGGTGAAATTATAAAATCTAAAAACTTAAAAAAATTTTTTTTTTACTTATGGAGAAATCTCAGAATATTTCAAAATTCACATATATGACAAATTCTGAGATATAAACTTTCCAAATATTTGATTGAGAATTTTTTTATATTTTTATTATATAAAATGTTTCAATTCATATAAAAATTATAAGAAAAATCTTTACCAGGGAAACTTACGTAATTATTTTCTATTTAAAAAAAATATATAAAAAATATTTTAAGATTATCTATAAACGAGTATCTATAAAAAAGAACAAAAATTTAATAATTTTACATTCAGTTTTAAATGTAGATTTCTTGTCAATGCTTTTTAATTCCTTAATATTCTTTTGCACAGATAAAAGATAATATATATAATGATATTAGATATTATATTAACTTATTATTTTGTAATTCGTAGTTTATTCGCGAGCTCTCGGACCTCCAGGAGGAATAGACACGATATCTGTACCCTACATGCCAAAATCTTCATTTATGCCGAAGTTTGTCGATCCAAAGGCGTTTATTTCTAAGAAGACAGATATGCTGAGTAACTTGTTCGGCGGTATAGGACCAGTTGCATATAACGTAGCAGATACCAAACCGATCATTCCATATGGCGTAAGTGGACTGCCTTCAGATAATGTTGATAGTGCAAATGCATTATTTAATAAACGAGACATGCTACAAGATGATAAAGAAAAAATTATTGATGGTAACAATATGTATAAACGCGGTATGTTTGGTCCGTTTGCTCCAAAGTTCGGCCCAATGGGTTCCATGGGTTCGATAAGTCCAACGGGTCAAAAATTCGGTCCCTTTACACCATTTTCATCAGAAACAATGCCAGATTTTATGGATAAAGCATCTTTCTCCCGAAGAAGAAGAAGCATAGAAGTACCTTCTTCCGCAGAAAACGTTAATACCATTCCAGGCTCATCATCTTATCCAAAGATAATAGAAGGTATATCGGCAACAAAACCAGCCGCTGGTGTGCCAAAGGAATATTTGCCGGGAATGTTCGGACCTTTCGGACCAGGTGGATTACCAAGTAGTTCTTTTGGCCCAGTGATGGATCCAAGTGCGATCATTTCGAAGAAATCAGAATTCCTGGACACGCTCTTCAAAAATCTTGCCACTAGCACTCCAGCATCAACAACCGAAGTACCTATACCGAAAAGCACTATTGTACCTCCTAGTTTCTGGATACCGTCCTCTGTAATTCCCGGCCCAACCGAGTATACCCAGAAGGTATCTGACTTCCTGGACAAACTATTTGACAGTATAAATGTAACTGCACTAGAAGCAAGCGATGATTCAGACACAAAAAGTGATTTTCTGAGATCTCTAAAATTCGACGATAATTCATCGGACAAAATCGCAAGATCCTTAGATGATGCGTCATCTATTGCAGCTGCTAAAGATATAATTGTCAATACGATATTGTCAGAGCTTGGTAATTTAAAAGGCGATATGATAGCGACTTTAAATGATTTGATCGCATATGAAAAGAGTGCGACAGCCGCTGTCGCTAAGGCAAAAAAACCTTTTAAGCCTTTCTCTGATGCATTTCCTTTTGCGAAGCCAACAATCGATCCAACGCTTCCGTTCCAGCAGAGAATGACTACACTTAGCCAAGTATTTGATATGCTAACGGAGCTGCAAAGAAACATCAGTGTGGTTGCAAAAAACGCGATAGCAACTAATGCTAGCACACTAGATAATCCGGAATTGTCGAAGATTCCATTAGCTAATGGTGCAATTGGAGCTTCACCGATTAATAACACTCTCTTAAATGCCATTCTGAAGAAAATATCCACTGTGAACAGTGCTCCGACTTCTTATTCAACTTCTTATCCAACTTCTTATTCAGCAGATCTCATCAAAGAAAATTCTATAATGAGCAGAGCTTTGTCCAAAGGACCAACATCTTTCTGGGTATCTTATCCTGAGAGTTCGGCTGTAAAACGGCAATTAGACGATAACTCACTACCATATTTCGGATATGAAAACGATAATGATCGGCATGATCATAGCCAATATAGGAGAGGTGTACAAATGCAGATGCATCAGGGCTATCAAAGTCTACCTACAGGTTCAGTAGAGTCTGTACAAGCGGGAGGAGGTTCTACGCCTGGACATCAAGGAGGAGGAATCAAGTTGCTGGTAAGTGCGATTTTATTTTGAAAGATAAGTAATTTTA